TTTCAATAAAATAACAATCCTTTCCTCGCGAGAGACGACCCCTGTCACTTAGATGAGTCTTGTCTTTTAATGACGACATTTTATACAGTAGCACGTATATCAAGAAATATAAATCTGTTTGTGATACAAGTTTTATCGTAGTTAATGTTTTTTGTATAAATTCTTACTGGATGCTGTCATCTTGTTAAGGTATATTAAAAAATAATGCAACACGACACATTAAGTTAATAATAAGTCAATGTTATTTACACAGACAAACTATGGATTAAACTTTATATAACGTAGCTCAAGGGACGTTATACGGAGCAGATGTTATAACGAGTGATGAAAAATGTAGTCTTTATATACGTTGTCTTTTCTCCTATCTATACAGCATATTATTTTTTAGTAAATACACGAAGAATTAAATAAATATAAATTAAGTTCAAACGCAGAAATTCTACAGTTGATTTTCACTTCAAAATATTCTGTTACTTACCTGACCTTTTGTACACAAACATGTAACTAAATTTGCTGACGCAGTATATGTAGATCATATTACTAAGTATGCGTGCATGGCACATGACATAATCTTCTCGAATATAACGGAGAGTGAAATTAAACTAACCTATTTTAAAGGCTTTAATAATTATGAAAACAATCAACATCGCTAAAGTATCCAGCTCTATTAAAACAAGTACGTTCTATGTCCAACGGTATAATAATATGAAAGTCGTCATTAAGTTGTCCCGCAAGTAAAATGCAATAAAACATTAAAAACGATACTCCAATATAGCTCATAAACAGCTACACAAACTCATCGATATTAACATATTATGACTTTTAATAGCCTACTTTTAGAGTTCCATACATTCTAGCCGACCGTGAAGTAATTGCTATTGGAATCAAATTATAAAACTAAATTTCATTGGTTTCGTTAGTTTCGAAATTAGAATTCTAAATCAACCTCTTAACTTGTCTGACGCGCCATTATAAAATTTGTGTCTAATATATGAGAAGTTAATTCCGGTTTGGACAATTTTATGTTTACAATTTGTAGTCGTGGTAAATTGATGAATGTTTGAAGGAATTGAAGCTTTGTTTTCTTCTCTTATGTGTTTTAAAACAACTAAATGTGAAATATACAAGGATTGGTGGCAAAGCGGGTGGCACGTGTCCGTGTCAGCTAAGATAACCGCCCGTTGACCCGTCAAGCGATGGTTGCGGTATCGAAGAAGACATTCGCAGCGAACCTTGAAGATCGGTGATACATTCCGATCATTAATATCGGCATTGAGAAGGTGGCAGCGCCGCGGGGCTCCGCGCCGGCTCGCCCGCTTTAAATAACATATTAGTCTCCAAAGCGGCCGCCGCCATATTTCTCGATGTATCGAATAAGTTTTTCGGTAAACCGGCACGTAACGAATCGACGCCGACGACAGCCGACGCAGGGTACGATTTATCGCATGCACCCGATTCCATACTAATCGGATTTGAAGCAGCCCCGCTTACACCAAATCTCTTTATGCTCCTGCCAGCGCAGAGACCATCTTACAAATGCCACGATGCAGTGAAAACGTTAACTCATAAAGCTATAGAATCTAAAAATACCTTTATGTTTATAAGTTGCTTCGATATTGCAGATTAGTTAATTTTTATACGAGAAAGGTGCAAATAAGTTGCGGATAGTGTATTATGTAAGTCATCCGACGTCCGTAAACATATTGCTGAGCACAGTCACAAGTTCATGAAAATAAACCGTGTAGCAAACAAAAAAGTAAAAGTAATAAAGGAAATACTTTAACATGTAATTTTAATTTATCTCGAAATCCCAAACGATTTAAATATTTACATTTATGTTGTAATGAATGCTTGTTTACTGAATAACAGAAACCACTATATCACAGAAGATTGTAAATCTTCAAGACACCAGCAGCTGTCAGAGAGATATACGACTAAATCTATATAAACAATAATTTTAGACATTCTTAGGATTAATAAAATTTAAACGGTAAAAAATTTAATGGACATTAAAATCAATATTGAATTTCACAATGCATTTCGGACCACGTTTAAAAGAGTTATAGCTTAAAAATCTCGTATGTAACTCTTTTCGCCAAACATGTTTAGTCCAGTATTTTGTAGCATTTGGTATTTAATTGTCTGTACACAATTTAAAAATCTAAATGAACACAAAATTTTTGTAAAACCTTCAAAAAATTATGTTCCATGCCTACCCGACTGAGGTATAGGTTTTAGTCAACCACATTGGAACAGTGTCGGTTGATTGACTATTAAATTTAATAATATTTGAAACTTAGCTTAACTAAATTTAGTAACATTCCTTGGCTTCAATTAAAAAATATAAAATGTGACTAAATCAGAAAATACTCCACATTATTCAGTTGATAACCTTCCGATAAGTATGCGTTGTGACTTGTGACGTGTCTTGCAAATTTGCCGATTGTAAACTCTTAACATTTAATTTTCTAATTAACTTGATCAGTTAAATTTGCGAATAATCTTCGTTGAAAGAAGCCGCGTAATTAGTTGAATAGGATCACAGAATGATAGAAACCCATCAAAATACCATCGTAATAACATTAAAGCGAGTTAAACGTTATGAGAGTTCATTTGAAATACGCCTACCATACGAGACGAGACGAGACTCCCTGAGTACTACAATCTAATTAGTAATATTTTATAAACATATTTGTCATTTAATTATACTAATCATACTTCATACTAACTAATATTATAAATGCGAAAGTTTATATGGATGGATGTATGTTGGAGTTTGTAGTCTAAACTGCTGAACGGATCTCGATGAAGTTTGGCATTGATGTAGAGCATAGTCTGGAAGAACACATAGGCTGCTTACTTTTTTTTTATTCCACGTGGATGAAGTCGCGGGCGAAAGCTAGTTGTTCTATAATTTAATAATTATTATTAACCTCAATGATTGCATACTTATTAAGAAGTTGAGATTTATATTTGAGTGATGTTAAAATAGTTTTTAATAGTAAGATATTTATAATATACTCAAATAATACGTTTATTAAACAGACTACTGTTTTCTAAAGCCTAATAAAAATATATTTAGCATAAAATAAAGTGCAATAATTGATCGTTGCGTGCAATTCTTGCGATTGGAAAAACAAACTCAAACTCTGCAACGTTTGCTAAATGAAATTCGAGTACTTACATTCAATAACGTTCATGAAATGTGATAACTATGCAAAATTAATTATACTTAGTGCGGCAAACCTTTTCCTAACTATAGCACAACTGCGATTGTCGATTGTTTCGTAGCTAATTTAACTGGTTGCTCAACTAAAAATCAAGTAGCTCATAAGAATCAAAGCTAAACTAAACAGTTGTGCGATAGTTTAGTTTCAGGTGTGCGAACGTTCTTATTCATTAACGACCGAAATTCGAGCAGAAAATTAGTCCGATTACTTTGTATAAAATGTATTGTTCTACTGTTGGTACTGTTTTTTTTTAATTAACGTAAATAGGTAGAATTTATAAGGTTACCGTGGTATGGACATATTACTTGATTACATAAACAAGAAAGTATGAATATTGAATGTAGATAGCTACATATAAAGAGTAATGCCTACATTTAAATGGTTTTTGTGAAAAAGGATACATTTTTTATATTAAAAGGTGGCGAAGGAACAAGCGCCACCTGAATTCGTAGAAATAGCGGAACGATAGTTGACGCGTTGTCCGCTCACAGTTTTGCCTACCCTTAATCGACAGAGGATAGCTTTGTGTCCTTTCAGCCGTCAAATCTTCCACTTCTCATCAATTCCTTAGAAAGAGGATGGAAAAGGTAAGAGGATTAGTTGACCTCTGGCAAGCGCACTCATAAAAAGAAACGCAATTTACTTCCATCGTGACACCGTCTATCGTGTGGTATAGCACCGGGCGAGCTGGTCAATTCATGTAATGCATATCGTTGTTGCTAGCATATCAATGTTGTATTTTTAATACTAAGTAAATCCCAATAAGACGGCTGATGAAAACGGTAGAGTAGTACATACTGTGACGACCCCCTTTAAGGACAAGGACATTTTGATAATGATAATTATGATGATTAAAGGAATAATTTAAATTGTGTGACATTGGTTGACTGATACAATATACAATGTAATTAGACTATCGATTATTTAAAACTTTATTCTTTCATAGCAAATTTTAAAACCCGTTTTTTCTTGTCACTAGGCCTATCTATCAATTATGATTTCTGATATACTTCCTTTTAAAATCGTGTAGCTTTCTTTACAGTGTGGTCCTGAATTTAATTTTTTCTTCTCCACAACATTGTATAGTTGTTGTTAGTAACTATAAATTTTATTCTAGATAGATTCAAAGCTATTCCTATCACAGTATTTCTTGTTTACTAATAGTTTCTTTATTTACAAAATAATTCATGTTTGCAATTCACTATGCTTATCTTTTGTTTATAACTGACTTTCGTATTCATTTTTAACCTGAAGTAATACCACATAAGTAGATAAAAGGTGCAGAGACTAGGTTTCTTGTCATGATAATTATTTCTGAAATATCACGAAGCTTCTCATTGCAATACTTCTAAAATGGGCAACATTTTACTGATTTTTCCTAGGTTCTCTACCGAGCATTATTGTTAGGTATTTGTAATTACGTAAAATTAAAACATAAGTAGTATAATTATTTGATCCAAACGGTTTTAGTTTCGATTATTATCTGAATAAATAAAATTACTACAGATGGCCGTTAGTTCGCTTTAATAATTAGTTTGCCTACATTAAATTAATTGTTATTTTTGTATTATATGTTATACAGCAATAGCTTTATCATGTTATAATACTACTAGATAACTGCAGCTATGTTCTAGTTTATCTAAACAGATTCTTATGGAGACAGAGATTTTAGTTAGCTGCATATAAAAATTGAGTTATTAAGTTTGAACACAGCACTTACAGGCTAATAAATAATAACATAATATGAATTTTATTGCTCTATCAACTTACCTTCATTTCCTCTTTTACGGCCAACACTTTGACGACTTTTTAATCTCACAAAATAAAACTAAATCAAACACTCGCGATCCGTTCCTATTATCAAAACATCACAAGAGGTTCAGTCAGAAATATGAAAGTGAACTGGTAGTATTCCAGAGTAGATCTGGCACTGTCCACGCGGCCACACCGCGCGGTTGTAACGTATAAACTAAAATTCAAAGTTATCAAGGCGGCGTTATCTTGGACCCCACGATCTCAACGCATTCCCATTGGACGATGCACCAATGGGCGGGGCCGGAAATCTATGTAAAGGTGTAACTGTAAAGCCCCCCTGAAGTATTACTACGTGTATGTTCAAATGTTAAACGACCCGGTATTTTTTTTTCGTTACGTATTCAGTTTCAATTGACGCAGTTTGTTTTTTTTAGGCCTACCCTTCGTAGCGAATTTATGCAACTTCAACGTTGTTTCAACTTATATAACCAAATTTACTATTTTTAGAATAAGTATGATTAATTAATTACGGATTCACGTAATAAATATTTGATAGATTGAAAAAAATAGAGCACTTCTTACAACCCAGTTACATAATGATTCCAACAATTATTTCCATTACCTACTTAAATGTTACTTAGATTAATACATGTACAGCCCAAGTGACCGGAAGCATCTCAATAAAGCTTCTTTTTTTTTAATAACAACTTCCTGAAAATTCTTCCTTGCAACACTATTTAAGATTAACAAGTGTCTCAAAACAGGATTCAATTAGTACGATTGCGAAATCGATATCGACACCAATATGCCAGCAGTTAGACAATATCGAAAGCTCTACGTAAAGACTAAAATTTCGACAACTATTGATTAATAAACTAGCTTAAGAGGCAACTCCCTTCACATGGCATTAAAAAAAACTAGGTAGTCTGTGTCCTTATCACATTTCCTAAATCAAGAGTGTCATCAATGTCTTTAAAAGTACTTGAATAGTTTTAGGCTCGAATTCGCTCAAGTCAACAGTTCTACAGTGCTGCGGTTCGCAGACAATTTGAAGTAGATAATGACGGGATTTGGGAACGCGAGGCAGCAATCAGCGCGCTTGTCGCTGATGTCGATGGCTCTCAGCGGGGCACGTCATTCGCAACCTTACAATGGATAGAGAATTACACCCACAGACCTAGTATTAAACTTGACTATTAACCCTTTTTTGTTGGGATTTTATTACTAAAAATAGCTAAAAAGATGAGACATAAAGGACAAAAAAAATACGATTTTTAAATTAATTCTCATTGGCCCATTGTTGTGTACAGTTTTTGAGTTTGTCACTACTGTGGTCTTAATTTTTTACTTTGGAAATGTGTACGATAACATACATCACTGTCTTATTTGTATTAAAAAGATATTAATAACATCATAATTATGCAATATGTTTCAGTAGTGTAGTGTAGCACGAGTACCTATAATACTAAAATATAGTACATGATTTGTGTTCACTAATGCATTTAGCAAATGAGACTGCTTGACTCAATTCTGCAATACTGAATATTAAAGGAAAACTATGTTACATGACTTTCAATAACGAAGTCAATTCAGGCGCCTACATTTCCAGATTGACTGCTTCTAGTCGCAATCAGGCTGCAGATAAATCTATTGCAAGATGTCAATTCATTCGTAAAATGTGCAGTCGCTAGGTGCAATTACGATGAGGACTCACAGCCTCCCTCTCCCCCAACACCGCACTCCGGGGGTGAAGAGAGGGAGGGGATAATTTTGCTTACGTATCCGTGTCCGGTATAAATGCCGAGCCACCCAAAGTTGGAACTAACCACAATGTAGTATGAACAGATTTCAATGGTTCTGTACCATTTTCGATTTTAAAAGCATGTTATAAGTAATAATATAGGTATGTAATAAATGCAATTTTTAGATATGCATAATATGAGATTACAATCCTAGTACAAACTAGGAAGTTCGTTTTTTGTTTGAAGAACCTTGTGTTCGTCATGTAAAGAAAGGTATCATTAAGTAAACCAATTGTGCACCAACAGCTAACAAAGTTTAAATCTTACAATATAAAGTAAAAAGCCGAGTAAATAGATAGACTTCTCCTTTGAGCTGGAAGATCGCCACTGCATTGGATTAATCTATTAATTACGTATATAAAATTTAATCAATTTAATCATATGCTATAAGTGCATAATTGTGATATCAAATACTATACGAGATGTCGCTACTTTTCATAAATAAAAATGCTGTGAGTACGCTCCTATATCCGGGGGACATCCGCTTCCACGTTCGATCTTTAATTTTTATTTCAAAGGACTTTTCAGTACATTCTGTCGGCACCGGATTGGCCGGAAGGATCGATTTTTTCGCAATCCCGAATTTGCAATTCTAATTTGCGTGTCTACTCCCCGACGAGTTTCCTCAGATCTACAATTATATTTTCCGATTGAATAATCTTTTCCTCTCTTGTAATTACGACTCTTTGTTTTTTAGTTATGGTGTTTAATTTATTTTTAATATAATGTTTTGGTCAATTGCACTGTATTTTAAAACTCTAATACAGTTTGGTCTGAAGTTTTTGAAAACAAACTCGCAATAGGGTTACTGGAAGCAAAATGTCATAAAAATGGGATTCGTGAGAAATATCCAAGAAAAAATAAAACTGTTGTACTAAATAGGGAAATATATTGTGGATTATGATTCCAAAATAATCAATAAAAAGTAGTTAATATGGAATGAGATATTACAAAAGGCATATCCGCATTATCCGTGTGTCTCATCAGAATTCTAAAAATAAACACAGGTGGTTACAACCAAACAAAAGGTTGATATCAATCTACAAATTAAACCACAAAATGTGTCCATTCAAAGTCGAATCGTGTAACAAATGTATCTAGACATCACCTACATCTGTAACAGGTCCACCCTATTTTAAACCCCACGATATCTACTTTCGAGAAAGATAAAATTAAATCTAAACAAGAAATATAAATGAGCGCACATAGAGTACAGTTGATTGTAATCACAGGTAACGAATGAATTTAATTTGGCAATGAATAGAAAGTTGTATATTTGTAAGGCAAAGTAAGCAAATTAATTTAAATAGAAATTCTATGATAGCTACCGTCATGTTTTAACAATTATTTGCTTTGCATATTTAGTACTTTAACATTTTATTCATGTTCTTATTCTTCACTATTGTGAGTTTACACTAATGAAACTCTTGTACGCAGATATGTTGGCATCGCACTCATTATGTTGGCAAAAAACAGAGACAACTATAAGTTTTTGCACAGGTTTAAACCCAGTGGGAACTGACTGTAAGTGTACATTGATAAAGTTTAGTGTAATAAGTATATTCTAAACATGCCAACAAGAAAATATCTAAAAGTTTATACATATTTTGTGATATGAAGACGGTTTTAACTCAATTTTACAAGAAAACATTATGGGCATACATAGAATCAGTAGCCATGTGATTGTAATCTTGAATTTGTTACATGTTTTAAATTAGCTGTAATTACTGTTATTTGCATTTTACTTTGTAGTCAGAAACTAAATAATATAATAAAAATTATGGCTTAATTTATTACAATATTTTTGTAGCCCACCCTTTACAATGCTAACAAAAATACCTAATATTTACGACAAGAACTTACCGAGTAACATACTTAAATCCAATTAATATAGCTTGGTTGCAATATTTGTGTGCTTACAAGTTTATTCGCAAGAGGGCGCTGGGTATCGCGATGTTCCCGAGGGAGGGTTCCATTGATTTGTCAGACATCGCGCGAATGCGAATTAACGATGGCTTCCCCACCAAATAACACCAATAATTTGGATTTTCTATCACTTCATTCTCACTTTTTCAGTTTGTTTTTAGTCAACCTAACTTGCACCTAACGAATACACATTGAACAATTTAGTTTTGGTAATCGATATATGAAAGTAATGGATTTTATTCCATTTTATCTATTTCTTTACGATTTATTTTTGGAAACAGGCAAACAGACGCACATCGAATTGCCTTATGTAATGTCTGTTTAAAACAGGCTCATGTTATGGAATTAAACGATATGCACCAGTTTTGAATTGTTATTTTTTTTAAACTTTCATACGAATTTCACAATCTATTTGAGGTCTATTGTCGACTTCACCTTTGTCAAGTATCAGCTACACTACCTCGGAGCAAATAAATGGAATTTAATGTAGTGTCACATTTACTGGGCTTGCAAGAATGCCTCCAGTCAAAAAGTCATTATGAGAATGAAAACTATTCCTCAGAACTACGAACAACATCCATTTACGGGTCTAATATGGTTTACGTTGGTTTGATATGGAATGAATGCGTCAGTGTAGATGATACATAAACGTTGCAACGTTTGTGCCTAACCACATGCGAGATTCGCGGCTGTGAGTGTACAATGAAAAGCTGTTGTGTGACTATTAACAACGTTTAGCTGCTCCCCGGGGGTCCAGACTCGAGGGACAATCGTCTATGGGGCGCGTTATTATTTTATTTAACTTTTTGTACGAACAGACGTATTCTTTGCACAGTATATTTTATTTTACTGCGGTTGATAGTAGATTGTACTGACATTCTTCCGTTGATATTTTGATGATGCAGGAAAGGTTCGCGTAGGTAGGTATTTACACAATTTAACTATTACTTTAAACATTATTTAACATAAAGTATTAAACGTTAAAAATCCCTACAACTTTTCCTGAAAAATAAAAATATGTACAGTCAGCTGCATAAATAAAAATACAATTCGGAAACTTCGGAAACTCGTATTCCTTCGATTCGTCCATATTCATTCTAAAATCGAAAGCATGTACAATTGTATGAAGCTTTTTAAATGCACACATATTTATGCAGTTGACTGTACTAACCAACGACATTATAATTTCATAGCACATGTTTCTCATAGTCCCATGTTGATAATATGAACACTTATATTCTCTGCTCTTACAGTCTTATCAGTGGTGGTAGTCGTTATGTATCAATACAAATATTATGCAGTAATTGTTCATAACCGCATTTAACAGCGGTTTTTACCTTGTAAATGGAGATCGCAAAGCGGTGTCACACAGGGACGACATTTGGCGCGTCAAATTGCCGCGTTTGATCAGCCCTTTGTGCGCCTTAAGACCATTACGACTATGAGATTACA